CAGTCTGGTATATTTTCCTTAAAAATGCCTCAATGAAAAAAAAGAAAAACCTTTTAGTATAATGCTCCGGGTAATTCAACCACTAATATAGTATATAGGGAAGCATTAACGTAATCAACTAGATACCAATATTACCAAATAAAAATATACTAGAGTCAGAATCTTTATTGGCAAAATAAAAATACTATACCACCTTCTTGAGTGGAGTTCATATGTATATAACCCACTGTTATCTAAACGATGTTGTTTTGTTTTCGTCAACCACGCGAACGAAGTCGCGGGCACAGCTAGTGAATAAATAAAATTATGCAAATAAGGAGTTGGTAGATATGTATAATATGTAGAATATAAACGAAAATCAATTGAAGCAATTGTGGTAAAACTTTAATAATATGTTATGTACAATCTTTGAATAATATAGTGTTTTTTATTATTTAATATAAATTGCAGCGACCTTTTGTAAGGGCATACATGACCTTGTGGTCATGTTGATACTGCTTAACCAAAATAATATGTATTATATATAACACCTTGGTACCCTCACATGAAGCAATGAAGACTTTGAATTTGAATTTAAAAATGTAAGCTTTCACAAGAAGTGCATATAGACACTAAATATCATTTCATAAAAGAAAATAACTATGGTAGAGTTATTAATTATAAATATGTTTCAACATGTAATCGACTTGCCTGTTCTCAAACTAAAGCTTTACCTAGAAATAACTTTCAATATAATACCATAAGTAAAAAAAAGATGAATATATGGATTGTAGTTGTTATTTTAGCCTGGCTTCCATGCTTTAGTTATTGTTCCGAGATATAATTCCGCTTGACGACAATGCAATGCAAACAATACAGTAACATGAGGGTGAAAAGAAATTTAAAAACATTAAGTTAAACATATGGAATTTATGGAAGATACTGGAAATTTTTATAATTAGTAACGTCATTGGATTAGATTGGAACAAAGAAAGTGAAATAATTGTATTAGCAGTGGGTAGAGGTATCAAAAGTTCTCAAGTCGTATGAAATTGTACAACATGCAAACAAAGAACTAATGAGGTATTATAAGCAATGGAAATGAAAGAAAAATACAATCAAAACTACAAGGTAAGGGGAATAAGCGACAATAATAAGAAACAACAATGGTGTACAGTGATTGCGGTGATAATTGGATGCAATGATAAATGATTATTTACGTGCAACTTTCAGGCTCACCACGTTCACTTTCCCACGCCCGGCTGCAGGCTCCGGCACTCCTGCCACCTTCGGGTATTTGCTGAGGAGAGGACTTAGATCCCCAGAGCATTTTACCTTATGCTTAGCGCCGTCTGCTGTCTTCAGGAAGATATTGCCATCCTGCGTCCAACAAGCACGTATGCCGAAGTGATGGCGCACCCTGACAAACAACTCCTGTCTTTTTTTTTTTTTAATGGGGGAAAATCATCGAATGACTGCTCCCGCCTGGGTGAGGCGGAAGGGAGTGTCAGACTCTTACTGACTAAAAACCACCCCGTTCCTTCTCCTGCACGTCGAGCCGGAGCCCCGGTTACCCGTTAGGTTCTCCGCGACTCCGAATCGGCATCGGCCCTATTGGGCCCCATCTGTGGTGGTCTGATGGCTCTTTGAGGCGCGCGCGGAACGCGACGCGCCGTACGATCGGGTCTGTTTCTGGTCGGACGGGGAGCCACCCATGCTCGCCGTCCGCAGGCCCGCGCTTACGGTGGCCGGAGATCGTCCCGCGATCCCTGACGCCCGGTGTGTCCTTCGCGATGGCTGGTTTGCGAGGAGGTTTGCTTCGCTGCCTCACGCGTCCCGCCTCCTCTTTAAACAACTCCTGTCTGGATCGTGTTAAAAACTCACGCACAGAAGTTTTAGAGCCCCGAAGACCAGTTTTAGCTCGCCAGACCAAAGCCTTATTTTCGATGGTTGTGAACCGCACCAGGATTGGTCTAGGAAGATCTTTAGTGCCTGCTCCCAGTCGACGGCTTGTCTTGATTGCAGACAATGGAAGATTGAGTTGTAGCCTGGTGTTTATAATTTCAAGTACTACCTTGCTGCAGTCCTCCTCCTTAACTTCGGGTATACCCAGAAACACTAAATCTTTACGTCGGTGCCGCGTCTCCTGGTCATCAGAACACTTGCAGCACTCTGAGATTTGTCCCCGAAGCGTGCCCAAAATGTTATAGACCAGCACCCGGAATACTCGAAACTCCTCCGCTATCTTGGCCACTGTGTCCTTACCAGGGCCGGCTGCCTCAATTTGATCATTGATCTCATTCATCCTCGCCAATAACCTCTCCTCCATGGACAGATTGGTGGTTATAAGATCAACGTGTGACATTGTTGGTGTGAAGTGCCTGGTTGCCTTAGTGAATTGATGTGCTGGCAGGTGGTGGCTAAGTTGAACTATTATGTCACATAAACGTTATAACTATTAATATTATTTTATAATTTTTACTATTTAAACCTAATACTGGATAATGCACTTTAAAACTATTTAAATCAATTTATGCAATTTATTTTCGCAATAAACAAATTACGCGTGTGTACTTATTTAGCACCTACCGACCTCTTGTTGTAGTGCTTCACGATTTAATTTCGCACCGCATATAATATTGTATTTTGTGGCGTCGCCTTGCTTTTGAGGTTCCATCACCGTGTCAAACTGGGCAAACCATAGCCTCGGCAGATCGGTCCAAAATTGTGGTATTTTTGACGCTACGCTTATGCTGGCTAAGTAACTACATGTTTGAGCTTGGCGGAAGAATAGGTTTTTGCACTTGTGGGTTTGTGATAGCCATTGCCGAGTCTATTAGGCGCGTCAAAAAAATATTGGCACTTAAACCACGAATTGAATTCGCACACTGCACAATTTCTCACGATTAAATTTGTCCACAAAAATTATAAATATTGTATAATTTTTTACGTTCAACTTTCTTGTATAATATAAAACATCAACATCACTGACTGAAATTTGTAAAACAGATTGCATATCCGCTATTACCACTAAGTAAGAGTGGTCGCTAATAGATCTCTCTTTAACAGCTGGTTTGGCTGCTTGACATTTATTTTTTCTTGCAATATGGGCTTCGTATTCTTTTCAATGCGACCTGAGCCATCATACCGTGTACAAGTTAAACACAAGACTTTTTTCAGCTTGAAAAAAGATAAATTAAACTGAGTGCCAAAAACTCGTTTATAAATAAACAACGAGCATGGTTCCTTACCTTCAGACTGAAGTTTTTCTTTATATAGTTCATACATTTTCTGAATAGACAACTTACAGTCCAAATATTAATATATTTGTTAGAAAATACATACGAAAAGACAATTTGGAGCCTGTTTGTTGATATCAAACAATCGAATACTAAGAAAACTGGGTTTTATTGGTTTACTTGGATTCAATTCTTGAAAAAGTGATTGATATCTTTTGTTTTGAAGGAAAAATAAAAGTATAAATCACGTTGGAATATCTAATATTTAAAATATTTTCTAAAACTCAGCGTCTGCCTGTTTGCCAAACCCGATTACCGGGAAGTTCATGAAGTTGACAACACTGGTTTCACTTAAAGAAAGCCATCTTGAAAATAATGCAAATAAAATCGAAATAATTACTATTTAGACCCAAAATATTAACCCCACATTTAATTTCGATCAAGATAACCAAGAAAAGTAAAAAAAAGATTTCATAATTTATGGGTATATTTTTGTGGCTATACAGTTATCTTCTATAGCGATACTGATTTTGGGCAATCTCCTTTTACCTTACTTATTTATCATATTAAAGCTACTATCATTGCATTATGGTAAGCTACAATAAAACAAAATGTCATTGTTTCAGTTAACACAAATACATGCAAATGCACTTGTCCTGCTATAGTGTATCTCGCGATGAACCAATACTTAAACATCGCCAGCGAGATTTGAGTACTTCGATACACCATTCCACGGTATTCCGAGGCTGACAATGTTTTTGGGCGTAGTGCCGTTGTTGAGTGTCTTGCTCGGTATTAATGATAGTATTCACCCAATGTTACCTTTTTAGGCTTCCTTGTTATTTTCAGATACAACCCACAGAAGGAGGATGCTATTATCTAAATAACTAACTACTTTATGGATGTTAAATTGATTGCTTCCGGTTGTGTGTTTGATTGATTGTGTGATTTAAAATCAGCTTCGAGTTCGAGGTGTGAATCTATCTTTTATTTGCTGTACCTACATTTTCAAGACCTCATCTTAGAAGGTGCCTAATCAATTTCAGTTACATCACCTGTAAGTGGTGCTTTAACCCTTAGTAGCCTGATTTACGAAAGTGATTTATTTTTAATATTGCTGTGTTTGCTTGAGGGTCATAGGAATAAATAGCTAAAAAAATCACAGTATTTATTTTACATATAAATTTAGAAAAAAAACTGGTATCAATATATTAATATCTTCAGGCATTAACGCCATAAATAAATCAGATATACCTATGCATGAAATAATGCGAAACATTGATTGTTTTTTATTTATTTATTTTATTTATTTTCTACTTCACAATATTCAACAGTGAATGGCGGACTTAATGCCAAAAGGCATTCTCTTACAGTCAACCATAGGGAAGTGCACAGAAATGAAGTGGTTGATGTAAAGCCAGAACACAAAAAAAATTGTTATGGCATATGTATACTACACACATAAATACCTATAGAATAAATATATTAATACAATATTTTATAAATCTGTATAGACATATACCAGGGTGTCCCAGGCAAAAAGGGTGAAAAAAAATTTTTCGAATTTAAGTACGCATACCCTCTATATTTTTTCTATTTGACCCTAATAACTAAAATAAAAAATATCATTAGTATCGGATAAAGGGAACCCGTGCCGACTTGATGTCAAGAAAAAAAATGTATAGAGATTATAAGGAAAAAAAATTAAACTTAGCTGTAATGCTCTAATTGAACGCTATTTTACTTTATATGTATTTATTTATATTCAAAATAATGTTATAATTAAAATTTCCTCTTTAATGTCATTCTTCTACAGTCAGGATATTTCACTCGGTGTTCCTGTATGCAACGTAGTAAAAACTGTTTTTGTTCCTCATCGACGGTGATTTTTCCGTGAAAATCTTGCATCAATTTTACTGCTCTCTCGGCTGTATCATTGACGGCTCTTAATTTCAACATTTGTGCCTTCACTTGTAAAAAAATAGCATTATTTGACCATGAAGTAGGACATTCGGGTAGAAAACTGTCATCAATTTTAAAACGATCAAACAAGGCCTTGCTTTTGACGGAAGTGAAGTTATCGATGTCTTTTTCGTAAAGAGAACCACAAAGGTCTTCTTTCGAGGGGACGTAGCGTTTATTGTGAGGCGAGTGATTTTCGTTGGATAAGCTTTGAACTATTTTTATTTTAGTTTCATGGTCTACATCATCGTCGAATAAAGATAACACAGCTACTTCATATGTCAGGTACCATAAATGTTGCGAAAACTTCTGTAAGGCTGCTTTTGAAATTGTTTTATCAACTTTTTCATATTCTTTCATGGTTTTCAAAAAGCATAAATCCTGGTTAGGTGTTTTCACCGCTAAAATACATTGTAGCCAAGGCTTGACATAACATGTTACAATAAACATGCAGACATCCAGCAAAGCCACTTTATCTTTGTTACTAATTTTAAATTGGGAGCTAAGTAAACAAATTTTTAAAGAATAAAGTGCTCTTGCCATCCATCGTGCCTGGTGCATAGCACCGGGAGGCCGAATTTTAAACTTTTTCTCTGTATCACCACCGAGAAATATGATTGAAAGTTCTATTAACTCATCCCTATATCGATAGTCATCCCTGACAATATTTTTAGTCAATTCAGTCCGGTAAAACTCTAACAAACTCTTAACTTCTGAAACATTAAGGCATGATATAATTTCTGTGGGGTTCTGTATTTTTTCGGGATCAATATTTTTCCAGTTATCTCTAAATTTCTTAAATAATGGAATATCAGGGTTGTTAGTTACTTGGCTTATTTTGTCTTCAAATACCCCCTTTAATACCAATTCGTAAATGTGATGGCGGCACCCAAAAATAAGCATTTCTCTATTAAATTTTTGTTCCAAGAGAACACAAGCACCATTAATGCGACCAGTATTTGAAGCAGTGGTGTCACAACAAAGAATTTGTACCTTGTCTTCTAGATTCCAGTCTGTAACAGCGTTCCTAATAGCTTCTGCCTGTTCACTTCCAGTAGAATTGTCCAACTTTGGCACCGCGATGAGTTGTTCTTTATCTCCATATGAAATAATTACCTCGTGTGTTCATAAGTTTTAAAACAAACTTTTTGCTTATAAAAATTACTGGCTGCTGTATATTTCTTTTTCTAATTTTTAATTTGGAATGTTAACTTTTATTGCTCTCGGTTATTGGGGTGGGTAAAATGTGTAAATCTATTATTTCAGAATCGGAAGATTAATTTTCTTGATAAGATGAAGTTGAAGCAGTAAGGGATGCATAATAATTAGCACGACGGTTTTGTTCTTCGATATTTCTAAGGCGCGACTTTTCCTCTTTATCGGCCAACTTTTTGTCCACTCCAGCTAAGTGACCAGGCCTGCCTGGCTCTCTCTGTCGCTGTAAGAAGATCCTATCTTCATCTATTTTTATTAATTTAAGAGCATCGGCATGTGCAATGTCGAACAAATTGTCCAAATCAGTAACAAACTCCTGACGACTTAAATGAGTCTTGGGTTTTATTCGCATTTTTTTGCAGATCTCTCCAAACTTGGTTTAAAGTTACTAGTTTCTTAACACAGTTGGGTAATGCTTTGGTTGGTATACGAGCCTTTTCCCAATAAATAATGCACTCACGAATAGTTAAGTTTGCACTTTCATTGATGCTTAGATTGACTTCACGAATATTGTAAAACAAAACTGCCAGTACTTGACCATTCGAAGTCATAATATCGAACCGGTAATTTGATGTTTTACATCCCCTATCAAAAATATGCACTTTTTGGAACTGCGTAATCCCTCTGACATCTTGACTTAATGAAAACAATATGTTTACTAATAAAACAAACAAGTAATAACATGCACTACGATACAATAACTCCGACGCGTCAAAATATGCAAGTACTGACATGTACAAACGCAAGTCGGCACGGATTGCGGTGGTTCTAGGTAAATGAAACTTTATTTACGTATATGGTAACACTATTCGAAAATAATTAGAGGGTATGCATTCAAAAACGACGACTTTTATTTTTTTGGGACACCCTAACATATACATACTTTTGTTTTTATTATCGCATTCCGACACTACCAGGAGGTAAGTTTCTTACAATTATTAAATTTACACTTATTTCTAGAATCCATAAATAGTTTTTGACCTATACAATCGCATCGCACGTCAGTAGAGGGTAGTCCTTGTACACATGTCGGGGTCTTTTAGAAGGTACTGTAGTGTCTTGTCGACTGTTGGTTCTGGCTCTTCCCATATTATTTTTCGAGCGACTTTAATATCTACATAAAGTATCGGCAAGCTCAGTTCTAAAATCTGCTAACTTCATAATATTCTTCTGAAGTTTTCCTTTCCTTGTGTTTACCTTTTTGTATAGTACCCAAGCATTGATGACAGTCATGTCTAACAAGTGGTAGAAGAGCCTCGTCCACTTTCTCGGCTTAAAGCGGATGCGATATCGACCACTGAAGCTATCCTTAAATCAACACGCTTGTATTATATTCTTTTATGACCCGAAAACATGATACTTGAACATTGGCCTTTAGTTCTTTTTCGTAGCGGGTTATAGTATCCTCTGGTTCAGCGCCAACATACGTGGAAAGTAGTAGTACTTGTTTGTTGTCTTTCCAACTTGTGCCCGAAATTTCGTGGCCTTCGTGAGAGGCCACATGTTTCTCTCCATTTCTCCGGCAACTTGCACGATTTTCCAAGTCTGTTTCGCTGTACTGTTCCAAGACAATAAATACCTTCGTTGGTCAAATAATATAGCAGAGGAATATTCGTATTAAAATTGTTTAAATAAGTTATATGATTGACATGCCTTGGTACTGGTCGTAACAATCGAATTACTGTATTCGATACTAAACTGTATTCGAAACTTTCCAGGTAGAACGACTTAATTACTGAAATATTTGTGAAAACTGCTTAAAATTATAATGATCTATTTCCCACTCATCGCACTGACTTCTTACATTCATCCTTTTTCGTACAGGCAATTTTTCTGTGGAATGCGCTCCCCCTGGATGTCAGGATGGTCTCAACTCGACTAACTTTTAAGCATAAAGTACGTGAGCTTTTCTTAAAGAGGTTGGCTGAATCATCGCGCTAACTATCCACTGGGTACTAGTAAGCAAGTATATATTTATATATTATGTATGTATGTATATATGTATGCATATTGTCGGCATATTGTACTCATGTGTAAGTATATATTATAATTAAATTTATTTATGTATGTATATCTCCGAAATATATTAGTTTATCTTTCATTGTTAAATAAAATCACTGCTTGCCTCTTGCACCTACCAAGTACTCTTCTCCGCATCACCCAAAGGTCAGACTGGTAGAAAATGCCTGCGGCATTAAGTCCACCTTTTTGTACATTTTGTGCATGAAGCATATTAAATAAATAAATAAAATAAATATTTCTTATTTACTAAACATAGATTTTTAACTTAAATATTTTATATTCCTATTACAATCAGTTTCTTATTTATCTAAATAAATAAATAAAACTCAAAAGAGACTCACTGACTGAAATAGTGATTTATCAACGCACATCCCAAACCACTTGAGGGATCGGGCTGACTTCGGCATGCAGGTAGATGTTATGATGTAGGCATCCGCTAATAATTGATTTTGATAATTTCTTCCTCCAAAGGAGATAAAATTTGTATGAAACTTTGTCAGTTTTAAACCGATCGGGATTGAATTTCGACATGCAGATAGATGGTATGACCTAGGCATCCCCTAAGAAAATATTTTCATCAATTCCATTCCCAAAGAGATAAAAAAACCTTCTAACCCAAGGAATCTCTTAAATCTAGAAACATTAATTCTTTTTGATAAATTCGGCAAAACAATAGCTTGAGACCTGGGAAACGAAAAGTTTTTATCACAAAAGTGCCACGGGAACGGGAATTATTCGTTAAAGCTATCCGTTAAAGTTTAGAGAGATTCGGTACAAAAATAGTCGATAGAATAGTTTTTATCACTCGTTCCCGTAAGGTCTCCTTACGGGAACGAGCACTGGTGGATTTACTTATTTTTTGAAACCATGATAAATTCATTTCACAATAAAACTCAGTTAGGCACTGAATCGAGCTGATGAATTCTGTCAGAATTCATTATTCTATGCGGACGAAATCGCGGGTAACAGAATTGTAAAAATGTTGACTTTCTATAGCACAACCTTTAAAAGTACGAAACGCATTGTGAATCCGGGAGTTTACATTTAACGAGCTGGAAACATTACCGCGATCGGCGTTTTGATTGCATGGTTTATTGGAGCAGGCCAATCGGAGCTAGAGTTGCCCAACTATCGTTAGTGCTATCGATATTATCAATAATATCAATACTATTGATTCTATCGATACTATCGATTCTATCGATATCACAAATTAACAAATACTATTGATTAGAAGCAACAGTATCGATAGGATGGATACTATAACGTAATAATACTATCGATGGTATCGACAAAATCGATATATTTTAAGTAATACGATCGTTGTATTAAATAATAAAAACTATCAATACTACTGATAGTTTGTTAAACTATCAATAGTATTACACCATCGATAGTTTAATATCCACCCATAGTATCGTTTCCGAAAATAGCTTTTGTAGCAAGTAGTGTTAAATTATTCTCACTCACTGTGCGTAGTGTGCATTAAGTTCATACGTTGTGTCATCGTTAGTAGGAAGCTGATTGTAATATTGGGTAAGTAAAATATATTTTAATATAAGGAAACGTCGTCGGTTTGACGTTTGTAAATTGCAATATTTGACTACTTTCATTATTGTTCTAGCTAAGAAGAGATCTCTGGTCATACTTGACACTGAATGTGAAATGACTCTCAATTATCTTATGATATGGGACCACACGGTCAACGCTGGGAGTATGATTAAAAAGATTACTTTAAAGACGAAGATACTAAAAAATCTAAAGATGATACACTTAATAAACTGAACGTCGAGGATGCTAGCACCCAAACGCCAGAATATAACAAAGTTATGAAAGCTAATATAATAAAATCGAATTAGAGTTTTGGTGCATTTGTAGCGCAAGAGCTTTTGAACGTACCATTAATCAAAAGGAGACAGATTATGTTTGATATTATACGCTTGTTCGAACATCGAAGTCAATAACCATAAAGGAGTACTAAAACATTAGTGAAATGATTAAATCTGTGATTTATTATTAACATAAATTGTTTAATATAATTAAAACATGTTCAACACACATGTAAGAAAGAAAGAAAAAACATTTATTTAGCACCAGGCACGATGCAGCATGAATAAAAAACAAAAAAAGACAAGATGTGACAGTGGAAGTAATAAAAATATAAGAGTTGAAATTTGAAACAGAAGAATTAGAAAAGAGACGCTGACAACATGCCTATGCTAAAAGGGTCACCCACTCAGTTATTGCTTTGATAAAACCAATAATAAGAAATTACAAACGAATAATCAAATAAAGAAAAATAATCTTATTATCAGTCTTGTTCCTTTGTTCATGTTCAAGACCAAACTTATTGTAGATGTCACAAAATATTATTGTTCAAAAGTTGTCTCATGGCTCGATAGATGGCTTTGTCGCGATTAAAAGCGAGCTATGGTTTCGTTACCAATGAAACTATAAGGTAAAATTAATTTGTAAGACAAAAATATATACCAGCTTAGATCAGTACACAGAGGCGGTTTTATTTATATTCACCCCATCTTGTGTGCTAGTAGGTCAGCAGATCTCCTAGTAACCTAGCTAGAAAACATGGTTTTTTTCACTAACCATTATTAGTTTAACAATAAAACCTCAAACACGGAATATGTACATTTTATGCCGATCTCTGATTATTCTCATATACCTTTAACAAATCTAGAAGAGTCATGAAAATGCATTGAAACCGGATTGTCCAATAAGCACTCGTTTGTTTTTTCACAAAATTTGGAGACATCAAAACTTGCGGAAGACTTCCCAATCCTCCATGTGAACATGACCATGAATATGTTCCGTATATGGGCAAAGTATCCCTCATCTCTAGAGTTACCGAGAAGAGCAAAACACAATACGCCCTTTCAAACGGAGTCATTCTCATGTTGTATTTGAGTTGGAGATCATCGTGAGATGTGAGACTAAGCGGACGTACTTATTGTTGTGATTATAATGAGTCGCTATTCATTATAAATATTAATTAGTAAAAACTTTTGCACACTTGCAAAAATAAAGTGTCTCGCGTGAAGTAAAGTGTTTGCGAATAACTTTATGTTCCATCTCTGTACACTGTGCAAGATGAGCTAAGTACTTTTAAAAAGTTATTAAGTTAAGTGTTAGTATGTCTAACCCAGGACAAAGGCCTTTTGGGCGTAGCCAATTACTACGACGTAATCCACCGCCGACGCCATCACCATCTGAACAGCACCACCAGAAAGACCCAGAGTCGTCAGCGTCCACTAAGCCTGTAGTAGAGTTCATTTCTACGCCGGAGATCCAGAAATGGCTGACTTCTATTGACGCTTT